CCCTTGAAATTCTCCTTACGTCGCTTCTCAGCTCCTCACCCATATGTTCTACATCACTTGCTGACGCCATGTCCCTATTTTCCTGACCTATCCGATTGATCTCCCTATTTTGCCTCAATCGCATCTGAACGTCATCACCATCACCCCTGGGACGAGCACTTGTGAAGGCTTCCATTCTTCTTGCCGTCCCTTCATCAGTATTTCCTCCTGCCAGGACTGGAAACATTTCCCTCGCAGGCAGCTGTCTGGGAATACCTGGTGGCGCTGTGAAGGCTTCCTGCACACGCTGCTGGGTATGGGTGATCCTGGTCTACTCCTATGCTGTACTTTAGGACGCTTTGCAATATTGCTGCATCAGTTGCCACATCGTCGTCCCTTTGTATTCTGGGGTATCCATCCATGGATGCCATCACGTCACCATTATCGGATGTGACGGCTCCCATGCCTGCATCTAGAAGCGGTTAGTGCTCTGTTTGTACGTCGTAGCTCGACCGGTCTCCCAAATGTCGGGGTGCCCTATTGACCCAGAGCCGGGCGCGCGGCGAACCGCCAAAATTGCACGACCACTATGCGAGGCCAAGAAGAGCAACTAGGGGGCACCTGACTCGACCCTACGAGCGAGGAAAACGAAAGCGTGATTTGTTTTCGCACTCGCGAGTGTCATAACCTGAGCCAAAACGTCCACGTGCGGGCCGTTCTTTAGGAACCTGTGCCAGAACGTGGACTATCACTTCTCTAGTGACAGGTCAAAGCACAAAGCTATGTTCCTTGCACTCTGTCCTGTCTTCGACAAAGTGGCGGAGTATTTCGTCAGTCGTTGATGTTTGATTCGTCCGTAGTTTGCCAGGGAAAAGGAATGTTCCCCGGCTGTCGTCAGTTCGTCGTCTATGTTGGATATTATGTTGTTGCCTCTCTTCTCCGTATTTGGATGCGAGCATCCTGGTCCTGACCTCGAATCCTTATGTGTTACTTCTGGCGACATACGCAAGAGGTGTACAACACATAGCGTTTGTATAACTAGTATCCCGAAACAAAACACCCCAACATTCACTTCGATATGTCCCCAATAAGAAGGCCTACATAATGTACATTCACGGAACTCTTACTTCAGATGCTGGCTGTGGATCATGCTCAACAAGTCAGGAGGCACTCGTAGAACTTCTGCTGCTCGGCATCGTCATCAAACGCTGCTTCGAAGGATGTGCGAAACGTATCCGGGTTGCTTCCAATCGCTTCCATCTTTTCCACAAAGGCGAGAACTGCTTCTGGCCTGCACAGCACAATTTTGCAGAATCCCGCGGTGCAACCGACAAAACTGCCTGGCCCCGTGACTTGCTTGATTGCACATGCGGGTGCCCGGAAGGAGGAAGGCAACGGCAGCAGGTACAGGTACTATGGGACTCCCCGATAATTTGCATCTGCAGAGATGTCTATATGTTGTGTTACATGGAAGCAGCTTGAGGAATGCAGTTTGCTTCTTCTCAGTACAGTAGTGATCAGCTGTGGTACTCGCAACGGTGATGATTCATCCGTCCGTCCATTCTTGATGAAGGAAGAGATGCTGGCAGCTCGGCGCAACGGGCGATACGTGCAGCTTGCAAAGCACCGTGTAGATGGAGGGACGGTGTATGTCAAAAGTGCTGCTTGTATGCGACCCTTCCGCGCCTGTGCAGGCAGCCCATCTCGGCCACATGCTCCGTCAAGACCTTGTGGCAGCGCTTTCTCAACAATGGTCTCCAAGAAAGCAACACATGGAGGAATTGGGCTGCACGCCTTGGGGCCTCTGGTGCGCCGCGAAAGCAGCCGCCAGTTCAGCAAATCCCGCACCTGTAGTGAATTACCGGGTCCGTGGGGTACGATGCCGCGAAGCCCACAGCTCTACAGTACGAAGTCCTGTCGCTCTTCTTCCGCATGCTTTTGCCAGGAAGGACCCTATCAGAAGCAGAAAAGAACCTTGACAACAACTTGAGCTTTGCCTCTTGAGCGGGAAGTGCCAAAAGACTGCCGCAAGCCCTCTGCACGCAAAGATCTTTGACATTGCAGACTACCGTGTTGAGTCTAGGCTTTGGGGTTTCGGGTTCAGAGCTATGGGATCTTTAAGGGCTCTTTGCGGGTCCTCCGACTCGTCACCAAGCGCTGCAACATCCTGTCCACAGCCCTGCCACCTGCCACTTCGCAACCAAGCCGCACTCAGGTAGGGCAACAGGTCCGGCCTGGGGCTGGGGGCTTGTTCGGCATGCAGGATGTGTTGGAGTCTGCCGCAAGCAACCGAAAGTCCATGCAAGCAGGTGTTGTCTCTGCAGTCTTACCGAGCTTTGAGCCGAAACTGCTGAGCAACCTGGCCTTGGTGCACCGACACTATGACTGTGAAGTCGCCGGAATGCTTTCGGGAGATTCCAGTATCATAATATCTCGTGATCGATGGCAGCGGACTTCATCCGCGCAAGCCGCTTGACTGAAAGCCAACGCAGAAAGCAGGCACCTATAGCGGAAGATGCAAAGCATTAGTGTGTAAATTGTGTCACTGCCAGGTTGCAGTCCACATTCGGCTGGATGTTGAGGATCCGTAGTCTCCCCGTTTCATATCAGTAGTTCGGCCTGGAATGCGGGCGAGGTGACAGATGCCGAGCACCCGCATGTATAGATTGAGCTCGCTTCAAAGACACTGAGGCCGTGGCCCCTCCACTTGCAGCCAAGTTGGAATGACCGCTCCAGGATACGAGTACTTCGCAGTGTCTTCCCTAGGAAAGCAGCTTCACAACAGGTGTCTCCCGGCGACGACGCTTATGTCGGTATGCTCCCTTAGGCTTGCACCCATAGATGGCAGGCATAAAAGACGCGCTGTGATACTGCCAGAATGTTTCCACCGAGGAGACGTCCGCCAACTGAGGGGCACAGGACGCGGTACTGTCAGTGTGCCCGCGACGAAAGGCGAAAGTACATGAAACTTAGTCTGAGAACGCTGCCGGTATTGCAGCAGCTGTGTCAAATCGTCTCCTCAAGGAGCCCTGTGCAGATCAGAAGCTCACATCAAAGCCAAGCTTGAATCTGCAACAAAAAACTGCCCACCTCAAACGCTCGCATCTTGTACCGAGGCTCGCTGAGGGCGAGGGACTGACATGCCAACACTTACGCAGATGTGCTAACCAGCCGGGACGTTGCCAGACTCATTAAGGCTGCCGCTGTTATTCAGCAAAAGGAAGCAAACAAACAACACGGTGTTGAAGGTTGACCTCGCCAGGATTGCACAAATTCGTCTACCTCGTGCTGCACATGTCCGGAACAAGCGAGTCGCAAAAGCACAAACATCTGGCCTCAAGAGGGCCTTCAGGCCACTCTTCTGTTGCAACAACTCGTTGACACGTTTCTCATCCTGAGTCACGAATGCCCGCAGACAGGCAAGATTCAGCTCAAATTCTGTGAGGATCGTGCCACCAAAATGGCAACCCACTTGTGGGGGGCCGACATGTCCACAAATGCAGTTATGCACACACTTCGCTACATCATCCCAACTTCCCCCCCCCTTCTGCAGGCTGCTACTAGCATCGAGCCGCATGTCACGCGGCATCAAACATCAGAGTGTCAAGCAGCATGGCCTGCCAACACAGCCCGGACAATTCTGCAGAAACAACATTTCGAAATCTGGTGGCACAACGATTCGTTCTAGTCAACACAGCAACACTATGTTCGGTTGTGTTGGCTCAGTATTTTTCCATATCAAATGACCCAACTTTTCTTAACGGCAGCCAGAGGAAACAACGGAAGGAACAAAACCAATCAAGGATGGCTGCTTCAGAAGTTGCGGTGTTGCGCATCTCAACTTCAACCACGCCAAAATGAAATCCAAGTGGCAACACATGGAGGATTCCAACAGCACTTGCACACGAATGCTACACCTGTTCTGAATGATGTGGTATGTAAACAACTCGAACAGTCTCGCGTGGCATGCCAAGCTGGCACTACGTCCGGCTGCTTTATCTTCACAGCGACACATTTCCACGGCTCTAGGTTCGAGTTGCTGCCATCTGTAACTGTCACATCAGTCATCAAGCTTGCAGCCGCAGGCAAATGGCAGCTATGGTAGATGAGCAAATGTCTTCAATCCTGAGTGAACAGCTTGGCGTAAGAATGCGTTCTGCTTGTGACTCATGAAGGTGCACTCCTCAACTTGTGAGGCCCAACTCTAAACTCCCAATAAGAATGCCTCCGTGTTTCCTAGCTGCTTGGCAACACCCCCACTTCAAAAAACTGCGCAACGTCCAAGATCCAGGTGAATGTCTGAAACGCTGAGCGTCTGATGTGCTAGAACTGTAAGAGTAGCTGACTAGCGAATGTTCAACTCTCAGCTCAGCTGAACATGGATGGCCATCCGAAGAGCATGGATCTGGATCGAAACTGACGGGAGATGGTGTTATAGATTTTACAGGGAGCCTCAAGCAAGGCTCGCATGTCTGGGTTTGGTCTTTTCAACCCCAACTCCAGACAGGCCGTTCAGGACCCAACTCCAACCTCCTGTTCGGTTTTGGCGTTGGGGTGGTTGTTGGAGAAGCTTGAGGCATAAGCTTAAGAGGGTGGAAGTTGTTCAAAGAAGCTTCTTCTAGCAATGGAGCCGGTAGAGCCAAGTGATTCCAATCTGCCGCATCATAAGTGTCTATGGCCACAGGGCTTCACCGTATGTTGGAACTGGGACAGAAACCCAACGCAAGCGTTTGTCGAGGTCCCAGAAAGCTTGTTGACATGATCATGAACAAGACGATGCGATTTGTTGAACTGTGTACTTGTATCTCTGCAGCAGATCCCGGCAATGCTTTCAGCGCTCCAGCATTCAACAGAATCTGATGCTTGTTGCGGACTCTCTGAATCCCGCGGGCACACATTTGCTTGGCAATTGTGCCTGCCACCATCTGAGGGAGCTGAGGGTCAACTCCAGTCATGGCAGAGCTTTGCTGCAACTTCCTAGGTTAAACCCGTAGCCCCACGGCCGATGGCTCCATGGCTCCCTACTTTTCGGAGGGACTGAGGAATCGCTCTCGCAACACGAGCCACACACAACAGTTGTTGACGTAGCGAGCGGTTCCAGCCTGGTCCCAATGCTTCCCCATCAACTTCGTAAAACCACAATCCACAACGACCCGGCCAGACCCAGCTGTCCGTGGGAGTTCCGAGGTAGCTTCGTTGCACAAGAGGACTGGGTGCGAGTCAGTGGACATGCCGAAGACAGACCATCCCTCGGGGATGCGATTTGGGTAGCAAATGGTCACGCCCTCGAAAAGCTGTTCGATGCCGCAGCATAGCTTCCCGTGCCCGCCGAATTCACCCGTCGTCAGCTGCCCTTCTTCGTTTCGACGCAAACACTTTCCTGCGCCAGTGTTGCCCTCCAGTCGGAAGCCAAAGAGTTCCTGCAGAATCACATTTGCGTGGTCGTAGTAGGGATGGTTGTCCTAGCGCATCAGCGGTTCATGGAAAAACGCACATGATGGTTTCTCTCAGTCAAAACAGAACGGCAAGAAAGCAAAAGACGACTGGCATGCTGCAGTGTATCGCCCCAGAGCATCAGACCTCGGCCGGCTTCGTGAAATTTCTTGACCTCCTCCACAAACGGTTCCCTCCAGTCCAGCTATCTGTGCTGATTATCCAGGCGACGTGGTAATTCTCCGTGTTCAGGCGCTGAGAAAATTCATCCACCGCGACGCAGCAGGCGACTTCGAGACCCTTGCACTCCAGTGTCGGAATAACATGGTTCGTGATATCTTCCGGAAGGCCATGCCTCTGATGCGCATTTAATATGATTAACCTGAAGCCATGCAATGATTCGTCCTGTGCCAAGTCGAAGGCTGACCCGATTGGATTGTGCCAGGGGTCCCGAGCAGCATCTCCGTAAATACGCCGAATGGCATCCATGTTATACACGCTCGCCTCGGCGGTACAGAAGGGTTTGGGGTTTAAGTGGAACCTGGGATTTGCTGGCTACCAAAAGCTCTGTCCTTGAGACAAACTTTCTGCCAGGACACCATGTCCGTCGCCTGAGCCTTGCAGCAACTTCGAAACAGCATCGTGAAACTCACAGTTGAAAGCTAGGCGTTCCTACCTTGGCCATCTCATCTTACCCTGCAGTCTGCAACCACAGAAAACGGTCTACGTACCCTTTTCGCAACACGTGAACAGGAAGCGTCCTGATGATGCAAGCAATGCAAGCAAGGGACACCCACAATCTCGAATCGGATATCTTCGTCGCCGTTGTAAGTGCTCTGAACACATTGAGGTGCACTGTGCCTGGCAAAACGCAGGTCCAAACTCCTTTCTTGTGGCCTGTGTATAGTCAGCATCTGCGGGCGATCCGCGACTCCTTCGCTCAACCAAACCAAACCGTCCGTTCCGATCACATGTTTGTTGGTGCCAGCAGAAGTCTTGACCTCCAAATAATGTCCTTCGGCAACTGCCCGGAATGAGTCTTCAGGCTTCTGCTTCAAAAACCCAGGCCTCAAAACGTAGGACAAGACTTGAGCGTCACTGCACAGCTGCAGGCTCACCTCCTGCTGGCTGTGGTCTTCTGCCTTGACCTGGTCTGGCCCGACATGGCGAAAGAGTCGGTAGACCCAGGGGAGTGCCTGCCTGTCTAAGCCATAGCGGAGGGCCAGGGTCAATGCTCCGAGGTAGCGTGGACCATCGCGGTGCCGAAAGCTCTCCTGCAGCTCCTGGTGGAGGAATTCCTGCTGCGAGCTTGTCAAGGCTGTCAAGGCATCGATCTGCAAGATGTGGGTCTCAGTGCCTGGGAATTCATCACTCAGCCTCACTGGAAGGCTTCTCTTTTCGAAGAAGGGATCCAGCTCGGAGGAAGGACGGAGCAGGGACACCCTGCACTTCGGACGAGACGTGCCGAGCCACAGGAATCCGTCCGATCCGATCTTCAGGAGTTCCCTTTGCCCGCTGCAGTCTTCCACCTCCACGTCTGTCGACTCAGTGACAAGCAACCAAACATCTTGCACCGCATGCTCAGGCGAGGCGAGAGGCTGCAGGACATAATACAGGGGCTTTAGCAGCCTGGCTTTCAAGATCGGCATCATCGCCTCTACAATCTTGTTGGGCTCCACTACCTCACGAACGACGTCGGGATCGACATCTTTCAGTTCCTTGCATGCGCCGCGGACTGCGTCTGTGCCAGGCGCGTAGAAGAACACCACTGCTATTCCCTGTGCTCGCAGGGCTTGCACCTTCTCCTGCTCCCCGCCGCTGTCGTCACTGGCACCGGTGGCCTCCGTGAGAACGATGACTAAACACCTCTCTGAGGTCCAGTCTAAATGCGAGGCTCTGTGCAAGGCGCCAGGCAGGCCCTCCGGAGCTGAGCTGAGATCTTCCAGCTGCCGATCGATGGAGGCTTCCAGCTCTGCCGCATCCTTCGTGAAGCCTGAACACTCTCTGGCAGCCTCCGGCCCCGTTCTGCTCTCATGCGCGAAGACGATCGCAGACATCTGCGCCTCGACAACAGCCTGTGGAAACATCTTCACACGAGTATCCCTGAGGGCGTACAAAATGTGGCTGACGCTTGTCTTGGTGTGCTGGACATGGGCACGCATCTGTGCTGCGGAGTCGAGCACGAAGCACAGCTGCAGGCTCACCTCCTGCTGGCTGTGGTCTTCTGCCTTGACCTGGTCTGGCCCGACATGGCGAAAGAGTCGGTAGACCCAGGGGAGTGCCTGCCTGTCTAAGCCATAGCGGAGGGCCAGGGTCAATGCTCCGAGGTAGCGTGGACCATCGCGGTGCCGAAAGCTCTCCTGCAGCTCCTGGTGGAGGAATTCCTGCTGCGAGCTTGTCAAGGCTGTCAAGGCATCGATCTGCAAGATGTGGGTCTCAGTGCCTGGGAATTCATCACTCAGCCTCACTGGAAGGCTTCTCTTTTCGAAGAAGGGATCCAGCTCGGAGGAAGGACGGAGCAGGGACACCCTGCACTTCGGACGAGACGTGCCGAGCCACAGGAATCCGTCCGATCCGATCTTCAGGAGTTCCTTTTGCCCGCTGCAGTCTTCCACCTCCACGTCTGTCGACTCAGTGACAAGCAACCAAACATCTTGCACCGCATGCTCAGGCGAGGCGAGAGGCTGCAGGACATAATACAGGGGCTTTAGTAGCCTGGCTTTCAAGATCGGCATCATCGTCTCTACAATCTTGTTGGGCTCCACTACCTCACGAACGACGTCGGGATCGACATCTTTCAGTTCCTTGCATACGCCGCGGACTGCGTCTGTGCCAGGCGCGTAGAAAAACACCACTGCTATTCCCTGTGCTCGCAGGGCTTGCACCTTCTCCTGCTCCCCGCCGCTGTCGTCACTGGCACCGGTGGCCTCCGTGAGAACGATGACTAAACACCTCTCTGAGGTCCAGTCTAAATGCGAGGCTCTGTGCAAGGCGCCAGGCAGGCCCTCCGGAGCTGAGCTGAGATCTTCCAGCTGCCGATCGATGGAGGCTTCCAGCTCTGCCGCATCCTTCGTGAAGCCTGAACACTCTCTGGCAGCCTCCGGCCCCGTTCTGCTCTCATGCGCGAAGACGATCGCAGACATCTGCGCCTCGACAACAGCCTGTGGAAACATCTTCACACGAGTATCCCTGAGGGCGTACAAAATGTGGCTGACGCTTGTCTTGGTGTGCTGGACATGGGCACGCATCTGTGCTGCGGAGTCGAGCACGAAGCACAGCTGCAGGTTCACCTCCTGCTGGCTGTGGTCTTCTGCTTTGACCTGGTCTGTCCCGACATGGCGAAAGAGTCGGTAGACCCAGGGGAGGGCCTTCGCTCCAAGGCCCAGGTCAAAAACGTGTTGAAGCGCCGAACAGTAGCGTGGGCCTTCTCGTGCACGGAATGCTTGGAGCAACTCCTTTGCAAAGACAAACACGCGATGGGGTAGTTGCCAGTATCTTCTGTGTAGAGTCTAGAGTCTGGAGACTAGACATGATTTCTGATTTCAACTCTCTTTCCGGGATAACAATTGACACTCACCCTTGGAAAAGGATACCTTGTGACTGCCACGGCAGGCATGAGCTGGCCTTCTAATAGACGAATGAAGCCAGTTCGACATAAACCATCTGCTTCGCGTGCCAAGTAGTGGTCCAAGGAAGACCCTAAACCTCAAACCCTAATTCCTGCAACCAAGCTGCCCTGCCTGTCTGTAGACGGCCCTCTCAGACGCACTTTTTACTTGGAGCTGCGCCAATCGAGTTGATAAGAAGTCAAAAGGCTGATGGTAGGCTTCAGCTAGCAACAGCCACCTCAAACAAAAGCCGCCTTCTTGGCCAAAAAGGCACCACACTCAATCGCCTGGGGCCCTTCAGACTGGATCCCGAAGCCACCTTCAAGGATGCCTCCCTCGGGAAACACGTGGGCACCAGCGATGAACAGCTCATAGTTAGATCCTGGCTTTGGCGGTGGGGATGGTGGAGGAGAAACTTGAGAGGAGTGCAGCCACACAGGTCCCGGCAGATCGTTCCGTGCAGGTCACTGCTCTCCTGTCGGACGCTGTTTCAGGAATAGCCCAATTCATTCCTGCAACCAAGCTGCCCTGCCTGTCTGTAGACGGCCCTCTCAGACGCACTTTTTACTTGGAGCTGCGCCAATCGAGTTGATAAGAAGTCAAAAGGCTGATGGTAGGCTTCAGCTAGCAACAGCCACCTCAAACAAAAGCCGCCTTCTTGGCCAAAAAGGCACCACACTCAATCGCCTGGGGCCCTTCAGACTGGATCCCGAAGCCACCTTCAAGGATGCCTCCCTCGGGAAACACGTGGGCACCAGCGATGAACAGCTCATAGTTAGATCCTGGCTTCCCCCCCACCCCCCCCCACCTGCTGCTGGCGAAGGTTAGGAGCAGGAGCATCAGCAAGTCGACCGGGCGGGTCGGGTGGGCGACCACCACCTGCTGCTGCGCAGGAGGTGTGGCCACAGCGTCAGACTGCGGCAGCGACGCCACAGGTTTGCTGTCGCCACCGAGGTAAAGGTTCAGGTACTCCACGACCTGATCCTCCATCTCAGTCGCTGCCTGCAAAGTCTGAGACAGGAGTTCCTGGATCAGATTCGACATGAGGCTAAACATGGCCTTGCCCAACAGTCTGAGGATCAAAGTGGCGAACTTGGCGATGATGCGAGGGAACACCAAGACACACACCAGCAGCAAGACCGTCCACACACTAAGTCGCGGCAACCAGGCTCGCCACGAGGTTGGTTCTGCAGGTGTGCCGTCGCGCGAAGCAGGGCGAAGTGGGCGAGGCCGGACAGGGGCAGGCGGCCCCCCGCTCAACTCACGAGTTGGCCCATTCACCCAGGCTTGTAGGCCTTGCCTCGCCCGGGCTAGGACGGCCGTTAAACGGCGAGCACTGCTTCCCGCACGCCACCTGGCAGCCGCTGCCCGCGCCTGCGGGTCCTCCAACACTTGTGTTGCCGTCAAGCCGCCATCCAAAGGCTGCTTGATTTGCCCAGCCAGCGACTGCAGCGCCTCAGCTGCAGCAGAAGCGGTGCCTTCTGTCGCTTCCTCAGCCTCCCCCGCTCCCTCACGACGCCTTACATTGGAATTGGGCGGTGCTCTGGCATCTGAACGTCGGGGTAAACGGACTTCCACAGCTTCAGCGCTTCGTCTTTGCTCTGCACTCGCCTGAGGCGGGTACGAGAGCCTGAGAGTTGGCCTTGAGGGAGCTGCCTTTCGATCATCTTCCATGTGTCTGCGCCCGGCCCAGACCAATGGCCGAGCAGGTGCGGTCGCTCCGGCGACTCCAACACTATGTAGTGCCGGAGGTCCCGTCGGTAAGCTACTGAAGACCCACACACCGGAGGCGTAGCGGTTTCTCGGTCACTGCGGACTGAGTCGCGCGAGACGCGCCCGTTGAGCTCACCAAGTGCTGCTTCACTGCGCCCAGGCAACGACACCCGAGACCACGACGAGGTAGCTCCAGCGGTCCTGGTGGACGACGACGAAGGAGAGCTCGGACCGTCCTGTTCTGCTTCTTCAAGTGCAGCCGCAAGTTCCCGAAGAGCCCGCGATAAGCGAGACATCTAACCCACGACAGTGCGACGAGGCTTAGGAGGCGGAGAGCCCAAATAGCCGCAGTAATCATACACTTCAGCAAGCTTGTCCTTAGCAGAGCCGGGAGCCTGGGCCAACGTGTGAATGGCCAGGGCATCTTGCAAATAATGCCGTAATGTTTCCGTCCTCCGCCATCGCCCCGCAAACTGCAAGAGGCCTAGGTTTTGTTGTGTGCGAAAGTGGTGGCAGGCGCCGCCTCCCCGCAGTGACCCTAGCGTCAAATGACAGGTCTCCAAATCCAAAGCATTGAGGGCCTCACGTAGTCGCTCCGACCACTTCCGGCGTCCCACCTGCAAGAAGCGAAGCGAAGGTTTTTGATCCTGCGCCCACCATCGCAACCAGGACACCAGAGCCCGATCATGTATGAGGATGAACTGGTTCGCCCATACTCTCCGCGTCTTAGCTTGACGTATGTTTACGACCAGCCCCACATTCTCACAAAGCTCTGCCACTTCTGGAAAACAAAAGTCGGAGAATTTGAGGTTATCTACCTCGCCAGGCCGGAGCATTCCCGCAAACGCTAGCCAGATCCCCAACATAGTTGAAAACCATTCCGCTTTCGCCGAACCGCTGGATTGATTCGCAAAGGCGAGGCAGACGACAAGGACACATTGCATCACATAATGGGTCATTGGCACCCGCGGCTTGATTGGTTGCAACATCCGCCACGCTCGAAGGTTTGACCAGGTGTTCCTCAACAAAGGCCCGGACAATCGAAGCTCCTTTTGAATGCTCAGCACTGCCAGGGTAGCCCAGTACAACTTTTCACCACCTTGGAAAGCCGCCTCAACCGCTCGCTCCAACCACGCATCCACATACCTTGACGATGACTTCTTTGTAATACATCCCCCCACCAAGACTACCAGACCAAGCATCCAGCACCCTGCTTCCCGGAGATGGCGCCGATATTCCGGAGTCAAGGTAGTGTCACGCAGACGCCCAGGACGGGTTCCACGAGAGGGCGGCATCGGCAAGGAGATCGCAAAAGACTTTTGGGTAGGTCACCAAGGCACCATTTCGGGGCTGAGGATTCGGTGCGTGTTGGCACGGACACTGCGGGCTTACTGAACTCAACCACGGCGCATTGGACAACACAACAGACTGCTCGAGTTCCCCCTCCTCACGGCTTCCCGGGTCGACATAAAGGTTCCAATCGACAATATATCTGCGGATCCCCTCGTGCTTCGACATGAAAAGCTGCGTATCCCGGCCTCGAAGTGCCCCCCCTTTCCGCGGGTGCTCGATGAACACGTAGCCATTACCTTCAAGCATGATTGCCGCCAGACCTAGCACCTCACTCCAAATCCGAGGACCACAACCCTTAGGAGGAGCCAACCACAACCACGTGATCACCCCCTCCTCGATGGCTTCGGCAACCCAAGAATGCCAGCCTAGTGTTGTCCGGAGTAGGCTTGCCTCGTGCCCGACATCAACCGGGTCCCACATCATCAGACCTTTGTCACGATGGGCTTCCGTGAAGTACTCTGAACCGAAAATCTGCACACCACTTCCTGCCCTTAAGCGCCTAACCCCAAAACGTGACATCCAGCGAGGCGGAGGCTTTGGAGGCGGCAGCGACCTGAAGCGGGATGGGTGGTCGCCCAAGTTGGACTCGGTTTCCACCCACAGGAGCGCCAACACTATGTCGGCGAAGATGAGATACGGAAGCTGAGCCCTTAGCAAACCATTCAACTTGTAGGAGCTTGAGCGCCCCTTGGCAACCGCTCCCACGATCACGCGGCTGTCATTGAGGCACACCTGCACATGGCCGGCGTTCCGTAGGGCGCTGGCCATACGAGCAATTTCCCGACGAAGTGCTCGACCCTCCTGCAAGTTTATGTGACTGGTACTGCGGAAAGAATAAGAAGCAGTCACCGTCCATTGCAAACACTCCGAAATCGCACTGGCAAAAGTGGACACCGCGATCGGCTCCTCCGCCTTCCACGTAAAAGCCTCCGCACGATCTAGCCGTACTGGAGCCCCCCTTATTTCAGACCGGCGCCACAACTCCTCGTTCAGCTCTGGAGCAACTCGGGCCCTCACAGCGCCCCCTGAGGTAGGAGTCGCATCAGTAGCCAGCACCGAAGGATGCAAACTTCGACGCATATTCCACCTGGCAAAAGGGAGATGCAAGGCAACACTCCGGAGCTCGTCAACGATGTGATTCGGGAGTCGGCACCACTTCTTCTCGGGCAGCTTCGCCACAAAATTGTAAACCCTGTGGTGCAAGCAGAACAACTCTCGCCTAAACTGAAAAGCGAAAGCCAGGAAACCGAGCACCTTCTGCATGATCTCCTTCGTAGCCCAGCCTGTCGCAACAAGACGCTCCAACAACCTCCACACTTGCTGGCGCACCGACAACGGTGAAGCGATCGTGCCTTGGACACCGTCAATCTCGGCACCCCAAGCCTTGAACTTCGTCAACGCACGAAACGATTTGTGCAAAGCCCTCTGCAACCCCGCGGCATCATAAGCACCCTCTGCCTTCGACACCTCCTGCATGTCCGCATCTTCAGCCGAAGCCTCAGGCGGGTCGAACGTGCCATCGAGCGGGACTGCGGCTCCAACGGTCATGCGCTGCACAACGAGCAAGTCATCTAGATAAACCCCCTGCCACAAATCCCCACGAGGAGCACTCTGACCATAGCGCAAGGTTGTCTCAGGGTCCAACCCACCGTGTTTCCGTAGGATCCCCTCGTGCGTCGCCTGCGCGATTGCACACCCGTTGCGATCACCCATTCCCAATACCCGAAGACATAGGCGATGGTGAATGCGAGGATCAAGCCCTTGTTCTTCTACGACACGAGCATCAACCCTGCGGCCAACAGGATTAAACCTCTCCCAGCCTTCAGGAAGTCGCAGGTTGTAGTAGAAGTTCCGCAGATCATCACCTGAGCCGCGAAGGTATTGGTTTGGTTGCAAAAGAAGACGAGTGAAGCATGCCGCGCTAGGTAGAGTAGCCCAGTCCAAATAAGGCATAGTGGAGTTCTCGGGGCGGCGGTCATATATTAGTCTGTCTTCATGCTCATTCTTCGCCACGGCAAACAAACCACCTACCAACATCCGACCATCACGACGACGAGGCAAAGCGTCTTCTGGGACCAGCACAGCCATCTTCGTCTCGAGCAGCTTTCGAGCCAAATCAGCCTCCTCGGCCTGGGGCACCCGATGACAGGCAAGGGGAGCTTCGTCCCAAAGATGCTCGGGCAACCGAATCGACTCAAGGTCCCGGAAAACAGCTGCTCTATCCTCTGGTAGCCAGTCTCCTGGATCAACACCTCCCGCTGAGTTGGGCACCGCGATGCGGTCAGCCGTCACGGCCAAGGCGGGCGACGATGTCGAGGCGGGGGCCTGAACACCATCAAAGTAGCTTGCACCTGCACTTTCCTGGACTTGCGCGAGGAGATCCTCTACAGTCGCCCTCTTACCTTCACAAGCAAGACGACCCAAAACCAAGTCCGAGGCAGCAAATTCCTCCACCTCACCAAGCAACCTGTCGGCGAAGGCCCGCGCCTCCGTGCAACTCCGATAGGCCACTCGTGGCTCGTATGCGCTACCACCCCAACGAGGACAACCCAGAACCACAAAGTTAGACCAAGCGACGAAGCTGTTCATCAACGACTTGGCCCACCACACTCTGGCCTCATCCTCACCCTTCACACCCGCCGCCGAGAGGGTCTCCGGGTAGGGCAGCGCACACGGAAAAAGTGATATTGAATCGCCAGACCGCTCCAGCAAAGAACCTTGGGCGCCTTCGAACCAAGTAAGATACTTCATAAAATCAGAATTCCGTCCTAAAAGGGCCGGGTGCCTAAGACAGCCTAGCCCAGCATGCAGATTTCCAGGGACCGTCACTTCCGAGAAGAACCCTGTCCGGGCTCGTCCTCGTCGTCGCCTTCTTTTCCGTGAGCTTCGCGAACCTTCTTTTTGAGCCGAGCCATGGCATCGACGTACCCCGAGACAATGGTCATCTCCTGCTTGTTGCCGGCCCACTCCTTCTTCTGGACCGGGTCGACCAATCCAGTCAATAGCCATGCCGTCGTCCAGTCGCCCTGCTCGATGACCGCCTGCATCTTCGCCTTCAAGTTCTGGATTGTCTGAGCTGCGGCCGCTTCGGGGCGACCATTGCGGATCAATTCGTAAGTCGCCACGTCCATCATGGCGCACCTGAATAGTCCTTTGTAGCGGCCCCAGCTTTGCCTCTTCACGTAATCCCGAAGTGTCCAGCTCTGCCCTGGTACCACTCCCAGCTCCTCCACGACCTCCTTCTCGAAAGCCGCGATCACCCGCCTCGGCTTTTTCAAGATCTGCTCGTGGAAGCGGTGCAAAGTATGAACGGCCTTCATTCCCTTGGGATCCAAGCCATCCTCTTCGCTTCCGGACTCGTCGGAGGAAGAGCCACCAAGGAGGGCCTCGGACCTTTTTCGAGACCGTCGCCCCTTCTTGTCCTTCTCCAACATCTGGGCCATGAGCATCATGGGTAACAGACTGGCCGGGTCCGCACCACTTGCAACCGCCTTGGCCATCATCTTCTTCACGTCGAAGGCCTCCTCTGATCCCCGAGCCTCGGCCTTTTTCGCCTTCCGGGCGCTGCCACCTGGCGGAAGAAAACCCTTCTGAAGGGGAACCTTTCCCAACTCGTCGTCCTCGGCCTCCTCGTCTTCCTCCGATCCATCGCTCTCCTCTCCAAACAGAGTGGCCAATCCCTTCAAGTGAGGGGTCAGCTTGGACTTCCTGGCAGAAGAACCCTGTGCCACATTTCCCGATCCGCTGGCTACTTCCTCTGATCGTCTTCTCGGCTGTTCGGCTTCGCTGCTGGTCAGGTCGGAGGCACTCAGCTTCTTCCATCCCGCTTCAATGATCCGCCAACCCGGCACGTCACTCAAGCGAGGTCCTGTCCAATCCTTCGGCCTATCAAGAACCAAAGCCGAAATGGGAGCCCTCACGAATCCCAAGGAATGTCCACCCTCCTTGCACTGCAGCTTATGCTCTAAGGTCTTCACGGAATCTGCAATGGTACCAACTACGGCGTCTGTCCCCGGCAGCTCCACAATCCAGCCCGTCACAGCAACATGGCCATCGGCTGTGCTACAGCTCAAAAAGGCTACGTCTCCTAAGACAGCCATCCCTAGAAACTTGAGAGGAGTGCAGCCACACAGGTCCCGGCAGATCGTTCCGTGCAGGTCACTGCTCTCCTGTCGGACGCTGTTTCAGGAATAGCCCAATTCAACCCCCCAAAGAAAGACTCTACTTCTGCTTCAGGGCACCAGAAAGGGGCCCACAGTTTCAAATGGCCATTTTAGAGAGCCCTTACAGAACTCTTACAACCCTTCAACAACTCTCATGAGCAAAGAAGGCCTGTAATTCAAAATAACCACAGAGGAGAACCGTTACAGAACCTTTGACAATACATGCCTACATTCATGCAGGGTCAACATCAAGGCAATGCTGCCGGAAGGCTTCCTCCGCCATGATGGATTTCAGATCCCTGCAGAGGTCATGCATGCTTGCTAGAACCTCCTCGGACTTGAGCTCCAGTCTTCTGGAAACGTCCTCCCACAGCCTTCTGCTTGAAAGCTCTACGACTTCCGACGCCTCGGGCAGCCTGCTCATGCCTGGCACCGTGTTGAAGGCTGAGAATGATCGCCTACATTCTTGCAAGGCCCGGTCTACCTTCATGCAATGCTGCGCGAAGGCTTCTTCCGGCATTACGGCCTTCAGATCCCTGCAAAGATCCTGCGTGCTTGAATCTGCACGACTCACAGCTTGCTGGATAATGGGAGGCCAAGGAACAGCTCCTGGTGCATCACTCGGCCAGTTTGCTCGCAGGAACAAAGATTTCTCAGGGTAGTTTGCCCTCAGCAAGGGTGATCGTGGCAGAATTGGCTCCTGCACGGTCAGGCTGTACGGGGAATCCAGCATCTCGTGGACCCAAACTGCATCACTCGGCCAGTCTGCTCGCAGGAAATTTTCCGGATAGCGTGCCCGCAGAAATCGGGATCGTGTCAGAGTTGACTCCTGCCCAGTCAAGCTGTACAGGGAATCCAGCATCTCGTGGACCCCAGTCACATCACTCTGCCAGTCTGCTCGCCTCTTAGCCTCCTGGAGTCTACGTGCCTCCCGCAACACGGCGTTGACTAGTTTTGTGGCCTGGTGCAGGCCAGGTGCATCGTAAGGCACAGCGAACGGCTTGAGCTGATGCAGAAGAGTGGGAGGAAAGCCAGCGGAAGCTGTGGTGGCTTGCGAGGCCGTGTTGGCCAGAACCTCCTCGGCCCTGAACTCCAGAAGATTGGCAACGGCATCCCACAGCCTTCTGCGTGAACGCTCTACTTCTGACGCCTGAGGCAGCCTGCTCATGCCTTGCACCGTCTTAAAGGCTGAGAATGATCGCCTACATTCTTGCAAGGCCTGGTCAACCTCAACGCAATGCTGCACGAAGGCTTCCTGCGTCATGGATCTGAAATCCCTGCAAAGATTCTGCAAGCTTGCATCTGTGCGCTCGAAAATGGGCGTTGCCTGAAGAGGATGATTCGGCACAGGGCACTGCAAGGACGGAGGCCAAGAAACGTTATCTTCTGCTGGTTGTTGTGACCTCATATTGTCAAGCTGCTCCTTGCCCCACTTGGAAAAGCCCTCGTCGATGCCCAATAGCCGCTCCCTGAAGCGATGGATTATGTTGACTCCACGCTGCACGCCAGATTTCTGAAAAAAGCTCTTCCAATCCAGCACCTTCTCGTTCACCTCACCGAGATATGCCAGGAAGGCCTCCTCAGCTTCGCTTGTGCCTGTTACGCCGATGGTCGCCATACCCTTCAAGGCCCAGAACTCCTGGCCCATGACGTTGTTCATTACCACGAGGGCAATCACCACACTGCCTTTGTCAACTCCGTGTACCCGGGTCCAACAGCACGGATCACAGGACATCGTAGTCGCCTGGGCTCGAGTTGTCACCTGGGTTGTCAACACGACACATCAACACTTGCTAGGGAGAAGTGCTGTACTTTGGCAAGGACTGGGTCCTTCTTGCACAAGGCGGATCCACAACATGCATCAAACCCACATGGAGAGCATGAAAATGCAATCACAGACCCCTCGCCTCCAGCTGCACGTCTCCAGCACATAGGAACTGAGAAGCCAGCTTTTTGCTTGCAACAACCTTGGCAGGAGCTGAAATTCTGCCCCGCGCATAAGTCTTAGGACGACCAGGCCTGAAAATCGCTTCCACATTCACACCCCTCGTCGGGAACTTGGATTTAGGCGGTAAGGCTTTAAAGTTAAACGTTTTTTTGTTTCCAGATTTTGTGGGTTTGCGGTGCTTGGGACCCCTGCTCACTGCTCGACACGAAATTCACTGTCGCTTGCGACGAAAACCGTCGGCTCACACTCAAAGGTATTTGGCCGAGTATTTGGCCGAATCCAAATATATGTAATATAAATGAAGATATGTGTTTCTCCAATCAAATATGTTTGCGAAGTTAAGAGGTCAACACAGCCGGTCACTCGCGCGTAAGCTTCCCTCGGACTGATGTTTTGACTGCTGGGGCGATCGACGTGCGGATGATGTCGACGGATGGGCTAGGCACCCAGTTGGCCTAGGTGAAAAAGCTCGTGCTACCAGGGCACGGGTCATAGCCAGGTTATGACGACAGGACCGAGGGCTGTGGTGGGCGGGTGTACAAAATTTTCGGCTGACCTTGGGCCCGAAGCTTCGTCATGCTGAGGATGTCAACGAACAAGACACGTTGAAAGCAAGACGAGCACAAGTGCCGAAAATTGAATGGTAAAGTTTAAAAAGGAAGAAAGTGTATGAGCCTAAGGTTTCGCTCGCGTCAAAACGCATGTCGCTCGCTGTCGCCGCACACGACAACGCCATCGCATGCGCGAACGCACACGTCGCTTGCGACGAAAACCGTCGGCTCACACTCAAAGGTATTTGGCCGAGTATTTGGCCGAATCCAAATATATGTAATATAAATGAAGATATGTGTTTCTCCAATCAAATATGTTTGCGAAGTTAAGAGGTCAACACAGCCGGTCACTCGCGCGTAAGCTTCCCTCGGACTGATGTTTTGACTGCTGGGGCGATCGACGTGCGGATGATGTCCCCTGTTTGGAAGCACGTCTGCCCTCGCCCTTACACCACCAGGTTGGCGTAGGGATCTCTCACAGCAAGGAGGATCGCATCCCTGACGGGTCCATCCGAGCCGAGGTCAACGACTCTGCCGCCAAAGAGGCGGGCTGCAGCCTCTGCATCCCCCCTGGACGGCATGTCCGCAGGGTTGCTGAAGGAGCAGACTCTCTCGTACCACAGCACTGAAGGATGAGAGATCTCGATGGACTGCATGACCCTGGCCATGGCTCTCAGAGACTCGGAGTCCGCGGTCCCCTTGGAGAGAGCTACCCTCGCTGGTTCGTTGTCGATCCACATGACCGCAAGGCGATCTCGGATGACGTGCCGGAGGAGGTATCTAGCAGATATTGCAGCGTAAGCTTCAATCTGGCAGATGAGCTGAGTGCCAACCTGCTGTTGCCATGCCGCAAGAAGCTCACCCGGAACTTCCAGTTCGAAGACTTGGGTGGCTTCTGTGGCTGGGTCGAAGACGACTCCGCCGGCGCCTGCTCTGCCTCCTTCCCAGGACCCGTCAGTGAAAATGACGACGGGCTGCCCAGTGACGGCCAAGTCAAACTCGCGCTCGGGGGTCCCCCGAAGAAGAGCTATGGCAAGCCTGCACAGGGCTCTGATCTCAGATGTGGAGCGACGCCCCTCCAACAACTTGGCAAATTCCTTGGAAAGGAAGCGTAGTCCCTTGGCCATGTAGAACCCGGCAGCGAAGTTCAAATGACCTTGCAGAATCGAAAGCCGCCCAGAGTCGACGCGCCCCTCGTCGCTGAACTGCTGGATCATCTCGACTAGCTTGTCGATTCTGCCTGGCTTGTTCGATAGGCGGAATTTGGCGGACCGAATCCCTCTCAGATCCACCAAGACCCCGAGAGCGACGAACGAGCCGGCGAATTGCAGGGCTTTGTCGCCGTCTTTGGAATGGGCCCATCCCAAGCAGTCGAGGACGGCCGATACCGCAGATTTCAGGACCGGAGCTCCCATGGCCGGTTCTACGATGGGGAAGTCGTCGTAGAATACTGTGGTAAGTGCAGCAAGGAACTTGACCAGCACATGGTGCAACGCACGCGAGATCCTCAGGAACGCGTACACCGAGGCGTTGGAGCCAAATGGAAGCACGTCCGACCTGTAGTACTGCCACCCATCTGAGGTCGGGAAGCCAACGACACAGAAGGGCCTCGAGGCTGGGTCAATCGGTACCTGCTTGTATGCTCGGGTCAAGTCAAGCGTGCCCCCTTCCCACTCTGACGAGGCCACAAGATGGTGTACTGGGTTCCCGTCACAATGCCCCAGGTGCAGACTTGAGGCCACGTGGGCCACTAGGCAGGCCAAGACGTCAATGTCCATCAGCTTGACTTTGTACGACGGGGAGAAGGCAGAGTTTAAACCCGATGCCTTGGCGTCGTCTATAACCCTAAGCTTAAGACTAACTCCCTGGTAAATCGGGAACCTGGGGTTGAGTAGCCAATGCTCGGAGCCGAAGTGCTGGTGTGCATCGTCCTCCGTAAGGGGGCCTTTCAGATCGCCTCTGCTGACCTCTTCCATGGAGGCTGAGACAAGGTCGTTCTGATGCTGGTCGCTGGGGATCTTGCGAGACTGAATCATGGCTTCACGCCTGAGAGGAGCCGACGCAAGGAGGTTGTCCGGCGAGTCCGAGGCAGGCTCTCCTCCGGGTTCTAGATTGGGGACGGGCCCATGCGTCCCAACAAGAGGAATGCCTCTAGCCATCAAGTCGACGATCCCGCAATCATCGAAGTCGGAAGCCCTGAGGAGGGCCTTCCAGAGGCAAAGTTTCTTGGGACTAAGGATACTTGCCACGTCCGGGTCCAGGGACGATTTGAACTCGTCTTCTTTCCCTTCAAGCTCTTTGGCCAGCTGCTTGATGGTTATCACGGCCTGCAGACGCCGTTTTGCCGTGTCGACCGGGTCGGTTGACAACACCGTGTCCACGGCATCTTTCAGCACCGGTGGGAGAACTTGGCCAGGGTTCCTCGGATGTTCAGTCTGCTTGGCTAAATTCAAGTAGTCTTGAGGGTTCCACTGTCGGCCGATGTTAACGCATGCAGTGGAAGAAGACTCAGGAATGCTGTCTTGGGAGATTGGTACCCCCGATGGCAAAGAAGACAGCACGCGCTCGTGGGGCTGCAGAGTGGATGCTGCAGGCACCCGGGCACACTCGTAGAACTCGGGGATGAGCGGGCGAGGGCCGCGGCGGACGCTCTGAGATAGACTGGCGGAAGCAGTAGGCACAGGCTCGGGGAGCTGGTGACGCGCGGCCAAAGCCTGCGCCATGCGCAAGCAAAGCAAACGAGGGTACTGTGCCTCCTCGGCAGTGGCGAAGCGCGGACCGCGGCTCGTGGGGTCAATGGTCCACGGCGCATGGGTGTGTGAAGAGTCGCAAGAGGCCCGGAGGCTGCTGAAGAGGCCGGGGGATCCTAAGATCTGGGTGCTCTTCTTGCGGCGGCCGCCGTGCATGCAAGAGTCAAAGATGCATTCTTCGAGCTGGGCAAGGAGATGCACACGCTGGGATTCCTCGGCCATGACACGTAGCGCTGACCAGAGCCAGGATCGAGAAGGGTTCTCGATGCTGACGGTGGCACCCATGCTGGAGGCAAGGTCCAAGACGTCCAAGGCGAACCAGTAGACGGCATTGGCTTGGCCGACGCGGCGGTGCTCGGCAGGGGTGAGGTTAGGGAGGCCTAGGGGGTGGAGCTTATTACGCAAAGGCCGCGGGGCGGGCCCAGGCACACTGTGAGGCAGAGCACGTTCGCGGGCTCGCGAACAGGTGCCACAGGGGAGGCCGAGGTGCACATGTGCAAGCGGCTGCGATCGCATCCATCGGAGCAAGAGAGCTTGTTGCTGGGGGCAGCTGAGATCCAGCTGGCAGATGGAGTGCTGCGGAGTATGCGTATTCCAGTGGTGGTCGACCGCCAGGGTGGCGAAGCCCGCAGCGCGAAGAGCGGCCGACAGGGAGGCCGAGCCGGCACAAAGTTCGACCGCCATTGGTCGCAGGCTAGTGTGCGGGATAGGGGGCGCAGCGGTTGGTTTGCCAGGGGAGTCACAAGAGAAGCCGGCGCGGCTCAGAGTGTCGAGATCGGCGGGGCACAGGGTGTGCGCGTCGAGGGAAGTGAAGGCAACGAGGACGCAGCGAGTGCCCTCCCAAGGGAGTGTCTGGTGACGCGCCTCGGCAGCAGGAAGGAAGACGGGCCCGGAGGCCACGTCAAGCACACAACCAGGCGTCACAACACCGTCCAAGAGGCGATGAGAAGTGCCGGAGGGGGACTCATACCACACGCCTCCACCTGAAAAGGCCGTGAGAGGGATGAGCAGGTTGGGTTGGGACGGCTGGTTGAGGGCATCCAAATGCAGGGGAGCAGTCAAATCGCGGAAGATAGCGATGCTGGAGAAAGAGTGCGTGGGACAGGTAGCTCGCACAAAATCGGCAAGGGCCTTAGTCGCCAAAGGGAAAACACGGGTGTGGCGACGCAAGCCGGGTCCGCTGGAGTATGCAAAGGCTCCAGTGGTAAAAGATTTTGACTGAGGCAGCAGAGATGCAGCACGAGCCGGAGCCTCAGCGGGTAAAAGCTCAAAAAGCTGATAGGCTTGCTCGGCAGTCATAACAGAGTCGGTAAAGCGGGCCGCAAATTGTTCAGCAGGGTGACCGGCGTGGGGCGGCGAGACAAAATCGCCGGTCTGCAAAGGCTCGTGTAGTCACGAGTGGCTGCACTCGCAGGCTGGCTTATGGCGGTGGCATCCGATCTTCCAGCACACGTGGTAGCCGTTGCTGCAGCGAGCACCAGGCTTC